CTGGGGGATTAAGAATAATTATTGACCCAAGTATGGAGTGATGAATAGTGGAGGAGGCACATCGTCAGACATGAATCATACAGGAGGTAGTGAAATGACGAAAAAGGGCATGGAGGAGTCAGTGCCAGCGTGTCACCATTGATTTTCTCCGCCACAAACCCACCACTTCTCACATCCCATTGGCCGGCAGCACTTCCTCTTCCCCCATTATTTATTTATTTAACCTCTCTCTCTCTCTCTCCCTCTCCACTTTCAAAAGCCACTTTTCTCCCAACTCATAATTCAACTTCCAACCAGGTAACTCTCTCTCTCTCTCTCTCATCAATTTCGAAGCTGGACGACTTTTTTATTTATTTAATTTAATTTAATATTTAGCATAGCGTTTGGAACTTGGATTTAGATCTGCTAACTATGACTACTAATTTTTCAGTTTCTGTTGTTGATTTTTGGTGGATTTTAAATCGTAGATCTAAGCATCTTTAGTTGGGACTGGATTCCTTTTAGTTAATGATTGATTATATATGTAGTCTCTGCTTTTGTTATGCAGTTATGAATATGTTTTTTTTTTTTTAGTATTTTCTTAAAGATCGAAGACTGGAAATAGAAGAGTTATGTAAACTAGAGAGATTGAAGGATTAAAGACTTCTTTTTTTTTTTTTTTTTGAACTGTACATTATCTGTTTCGTTTTGCTCGTATTTAATCGTAAAATAATCGAATCTTAAAATCGTTGTTTGTACTCGAGAATGTAATGTGTGGATCGATTTAAGCTCGAAGCTAGTAACATCGTAAAATAATGGTTTTATCATTGCAGGTTAAATCTTATTAATCACATAACAGCATGTCTCCATCAGCTGACCCATCGCGCGAGGAAAATGTCTACCTGGCAAAGCTGTCTGAGCAGGCCGAACGGTACGAGGAAATGGTCGAGTTTATGGAGAAGGTCGTAAAGACAATTCACGGCGACGAGCTAACAGTCGAAGAGAGGAACCTCCTCTCCGTGGCGTACAAGAATGTGATTGGTGCAAGGAGGGCTTCGTGGAGGATAATCTCTTCCATCGAGCAGAAGGAAGAGAGCCGTGGGAACGAGGATCACGTGAACATTATCAAGGAGTACCGAGGCAAGATCGAGGCTGAGCTCAGCAAGATCTGCGACGGGATTTTGAGCCTTCTCAACAGTCATCTTGTTCCTTCTGCGGCTTCTGCTGAGTCGAAGGTGTTTTATTTGAAGATGAAGGGTGATTACTATAGGTACTTGGCTGAGTTCAAGACCGGAGCTGAGAGGAAGGAAGCTGCTGAGAGCACTTTGCTTGCTTACAAGTCTGCGCAGGTCAGTGTCGATTTTGAGTTTTTTGGATATTTATTTAGGGCACGTGTTCGTTATTGTGTCTTCTGAGTTGTCTTTGCCTTTTTTTCAAATAAATGCAGGATATTGCGTTGGCTGAATTGGCACCCACTCACCCGATTAGGCTTGGACTTGCGCTCAACTTTTCAGTTTTCTATTATGAAATCCTTAACTCGCCCGATCGAGCTTGTGCCCTTGCAAAGCAGGTATGTTAAGGATCTTATCTTTGTGTTTTATTTTCTTTTTGAGCTGATTCTCTAGTCCTATTTACACCCGTTGATGTTGTTAGTTTCCAGTTTTGTCTACTTTGATCTTTCCTGTCATCTATTGTCTTGGTTTACTGATTTTGTTTTGAGCATGTTTTTTGGTCTTATGAATTAAGAGTTCAAGTTTCAAAAGCATGCATTTTTTCCTATTTTCTAGCTAGAGCCTATGGCATTTTTACATGTGTTGTTAAGATAAATCGTAGAATACGAGCTGATACAATTGTAAGTTTTATGACCCAAAACTTGATCAAGATATTAGCTCTTTATTTTTTCAACGTGGCTTCATATTTGGCTGTTTTATTTTAGATCTTATGATTTCACACTTTCTCAAGAGTTGAATGTCGAGTTGTACCTTGCTAGAATTCGACAATGTTGATATTTGTATGATATAAAAGCTTTACGTATTGAATGGCTTCTTTTTTCTTATTTTCCATGTCGAGAATTTTGGTTAATTTTTTCGTTGTTTGGGCTCGTCTTGCATTTCTTCACTTATGGAACTGGGTGCACCTTTTCAGGCTTTCGACGAGGCCATCTCTGAGCTAGATACGTTGGGTGAGGAATCATACAAGGACAGCACATTGATCATGCAACTTCTCCGAGACAATTTAACTCTCTGGACTTCTGACATAGCGGTATTATATCTAAAACTAGACTTGCATTTAATTGCTGCTTGTGTTTTTGGTTCCACGTGACGATTGGTATCGTTTTCTATTTCGCATTGTATTCTTTTAAACCCGTAAATTACATTCCTTTTCTATTTTAGACACAATTTCACCGTTTCTAACTGTTAATTATGTTGGTCGTTTTGATTTGGTCCTAGGATGATGGTGGCGACGAGATTAAGGAAACCTCCAAAGGCGAGTGACGGCAATGATGAATTTGTATTCTAGCAAATGTGCTCTTCGTTTTGTTGTTTCAATATATAAGTCGTCTTAGGCAAAGATTTGATTGGTACGAACGAATGTTGTGATTCTTCTTTTTTTACGGTTTCGGACTATTTATTATCGTTTATTATTCCTTAAAAGTGTGTGATTGCTGCCCGTTAGAAAGCGTGGAGTGGCGATAAAAAATGTTTCGGTTCACGACTCACGAGAGGTGTGATGTTCGAAATCTCATGTTGTTGTTTTCTTTCTATTTATTTTATTTAAGAATGGGGGGGTGTGCTCACCTTATATTGAAATGGATAATAATAATATCATCCCTAATTTATCACTTCGTCTCTTTTGTATGCCTAATCTACTGCAGTTTGTTCTATGCTAGCTCTGTCGTATAGATCTATACATATATACGGATTTTGTGAATGCTATTGATAAGAAACATTAATTAGAAGAAAAAAGAAAATTGCCTCTTAGGTAGTGGATAATTTAATTTTAACAAATTAGTAGAGAAAAAAAAAATAACGAAAATACCAATAGAAATTTCTTAGATTGATCTAGCGTTTTATTACTTTTATATATAAAATTTTGTAAAGGGAGTCTTTCGAGTTTTAATAATACCGTTTCGACTTTAAATGTGATTTTAATCATTTTTTATTCTAAATTTTGCAGAACCTGAAAAATAGGATTTGTAGTATTCTGAGTTACTTGAATCACCAAAATTGGATGTCGGAAGAGAAAGATATACATGAATCAATGGATGCTGCCCACAACTTTAATGTACTGAGTTATCTAAAATTCAAAATGTGACTCATTCATGCATAACTTTCTTTAATGTACTGAGTTATCTAAAATTCAAAATGTGACTCATTCATGCATAACTTTGTCACACGGCATCCAATCTAGCGGATTTAAGTTGAATTAGAAAACTAACCCAAACGACTACAGTTTTTCGTGTTTCAAAATTTCGCCAAAATCAAAATAAAAATATGTCAAAATCAGTTTCGAAGTCAAAACAATATTAGTAAAATTGCAACAAAATTTAACATTTCAATTTGGTAAAATACACGGAGTATATAAAAACGTAATTAGAAAATGAGCAACTAGGCCCGTTTGCAATATTTGCATACATAATGAAATGGGCTGATACTCCAAACTTTATTTCGAATCAGATTCGCACTATCTCTTCACCTTTTAAAAATTAAAACCACTAATTATTATACTAAACAAACATATAATTAATTAATTAATTAATTTACTTATATATATATATATATATATATATATATATATATATATATATATATATATATATCCATATTGATATTATTAATTAACCTCACTTTTTCTTTTTTTCCGACTGATTAAATAAAATTGCAGTAGCAGCAAAAACAGTGGCGGCAGAATCATTCATTCCCCCCTACTACTGTTGAGTGTTAATGGCCTCCAAGACCGCCGTTATTGCATGGTCTCCTCCGTCAACACTCATCTCACACTGCTATTACTCTGATTTTTTCTTTTTTCTTTTTTTTTTTAATTTTTTTTTAAATTTTAAACTCTGTTGTGCTCTCACTGGTTTTTCAGGGGTTCAGGGGAAGATGGGCAACTAGGGATTGGGAACAATGAAGAGAGAGAATGGGTCTGCACAATCACCGCCCTCCGCTCTGAAAACGTCCGTTCCGTCGTCGCCGGCAGCCGCAATTCCCTCGCCATTTGTGATGACGGCAAGGTTTTCACCTTTTTTTTTTCCCATTTTTTTTTTTCAATTTTTTTTTTTTTTTTTTTAATCAATCTTAACTACATTTGTTCTTGGTTTATAATTTTGTGTTTGTTTATTATTATTATTGTTAATTTTTTTTTTTGAAATTTAGCTGTTTACATGGGGATGGAATCAAAGAGGGACACTAGGGCACCCGCCGGAAACCAAAACCGAAAATGTTCCTAGTCAAGTTAAGGCTCTTGCCAATGTCAAAATTGTCCAGGTATTCGATTTTTTCGGCTTTTGAAAGATTCCGTTTTTATCTAGAAGTTGGTGTAAGAATAAGTTTTGTTTGTTGCCATCTTTTATTATCTTTGTTCTAATCTCAGGCTGCAATTGGTGGTTGGCATTGCTTGGCTGTTGATGATCAAGGCCGTGCCTATGCGTGGGGTAAATTCGTAAATAAATTGGAATAAAATTTAACTTCTTACAAGACGAATTATTTTGTAAACAATATGTGGAAACCTTGGACTTGATTTTGGTTAGTTGTTAAAAAAAAAAACTCAACGAGGTTATAAATGTTTACGAAGAATGAGACGTATCGTGGTGCAGGTGGAAATGAGTATGGGCAGTGCGGCGAAGAGCCTGAGCGTAAAGATGATTCAAGCAGACCGGTTAGAAGAGATATTGCCATTCCACAGAGATGTGTGCCAAAACTTACAGTTCGTCAGGTATTCAGACGAGAACTACCATGTGCATTAAAAACTTCTTTTCCTCTTTGATGGGATTTCGGGTAATTAAGTTTCTTGAAAATTCAAGTTCTTGAACTTGCATGTACACAAAACTAAATTTAGTTCGATCATGGTTAAGAACTGAATATAGTCAACGAGGAAGTAGCATCATTTCATAAGTCTCCTCGTCTCTTTTAATTTAATATTGCACATGCATCTTTTTATAACTTTCTAACACTATTATAGGTAGCTGCTGGTGGCACACACTCGGTTGTTCTAACGCGGGAAGGACATGTTTGGACATGGGGTCAACCATGGCCACCTGGAGACATGTATGTTCGTACGGATTGATGTCTGAAATTTTATACTTATCGATCACCTTTTAGTAGGTGACGCCGGTTGCTTATATCTTGTACACGTATTTTATTTTTGTTACAGAAAGCAAATTTCAACTCCAGTTCGAGTGCAAGGTCTTGATAGGGTAAAAGTGATTGCAGTTGGAGCTTTTCACAATTTGGCACTTCTCGATGATGGAACTGTTATGGCATGGGGAAGCAACGAGTATGGCCAACTTGGAACCGGTGATACACAGCCTCGCTCACAACCTATTGCTGTTCAGGGGCTTTCTGATCTTAATTTGGTTTGTCTTCGCCTTTTATGACATATTATCTTGTATTAATTTTCCTGTTGCAAAATGTTGGTTTTCAATCCGAGCAATTTATTTATCTCCTTCCGTTATTGATTGTTTGATTAGAAAAGTACGGCCCCGTGATTTATGTGGTACGTGTATGCATATTTAGCTCGTTGTAAATGACAGAAAACATACAAAGATTCACTGTGTAGAATCCTGAACAACTATTATGTGCAGGTTGATATTGCTGCAGGAGGATGGCATTCTACTGCTCTGACTGATGACGGGGAGGTATTTATTATTTAAAATAATTTCTCGTCTTCAATCGCTCTTATGTTATTCAAACACGAACTTGGGATTTTATATATGCAAAGAACTGTATTTAGCAATGATTTGGATGCGTTTCAAAGTCAAACACAGTTTATTTATCCATTATCAGTCTTGTTACATGTTCGTAATTTTTAAATGAGAAATTTTACATCAACTTCATTTCAATATTCTATGTTACCTAATATATTTGTTACGTCAGAAACAAGTAGGGCCTTTTTAGTGTCATTATTGAAATTTTAGGTTTTTGCACTGCTCTAATTATATGCTGTTGTGCCTATTTAAGTTCCTCCGTATCTTCCATTTTTCCGAAGAATGATTTTGTATCTTCTCTTCGGATATGCAATGACTGAAATGTGTATCTTTTTTACCTAAATTTAATTTGGTCGAGAAATCCTATCTTATTACAACCTGATCTTGTCCCTTTTATTTCAGTTTAGGATTTCCATCATAATATATATAATTCTTGAAAAGGTGTGATATTTTCAGTTTGCTTGTTGCACTGGAGTTTTACACACTTTATATTTCGGGAAGATATAATTGGCATTGTATTTTTGTTAATATATATATATATATATATAT